GTCTTTTATTATTATTATTATTATTTTCTTGTCTTATACCAAACATAGCTACAGAGTACGGTAGGTATGTAAGTAAGCGTGTTATCCGAGATTGTTTGACATTTCCACCCAGCGCGTCACTTAAGACTTGCACCAGCGTGCTCGGACCACGACCGAAGTCAGCGTGTGGAGTAAGGACCCGCACCTACCCACTCACACCATATCTGCCAACGGCGACCCGGAGTCGCCGTCCCCATCCGTCCGGCCTAAAAGATGCTATTGCTAGATCTACGACATGAAGCCTAGCCGGGAATCAACTTGAGCGCCGAATCGAGATGTTTCTCGGCGGCACCGGTAGGGGATTTAGTACTCTCGAGCCGAAGACAGGGGACTGCCCTGCTTCGCTACGGTCCGGCCGGTGACCCCTGCAGGTCTTATAGGTTGTTCACCATGCCGAATCAGGGGAGTTATCTTAATCCGCTTTCCCGTACCCGGACACGTAGTTCGCTGATGCCATCAGGCGCGGATCCCCAATCGTGTCTGATCGGCATGCAACATGCCTTCCCAATGGGTAGCACTAGCTCGGCCGGTCGGTCCGAAGACCTCCCCAAAGGGTGTTCACGGGTCCCTACCTCGCTACCCACAGACCAAAAGGCTCAGACCGAGGCACCTAATGGAGTTTGGGGTAACTAACCACTAGGGGGCTCACGGAGTCCGCCCTAGCGCCGGGTGGCCTGTCGCGTCACTTCCACGCAGTCGGCTGGTTTTTCAATACGTTCGCGGTCTTGTCATGCCCCTATCTATGCTGGGTTCCCAAGCCCAGGCAGACCCTTACGGGATTTGGGGGTGTTCTCTTAAGCGCACGGAACCATGGCGCCCCCGGTAAATAGCCCACCGGGCCGCAGCAAGGCGTACACGTGGGAGTTGTGTGCAGCACAGTAGCCGCGAAGACAAGGGGACGGGGGGTCTCCCTAATTCCCCCCCGGTCGCCGAGCAGCGTAGGGGCCACACGACAAATACTGCCCACAGGACAGCTTCCCCCAGGCATTGGGCATAAGCCCCGACCCACACTAGACTGCAGACCGACAGGGCCCACATCCACACCGGATCTGGAGGCGGGTAAGGCCTCGGCGGGGAGTAGGCAGACCCGTACAGAGGCGGGGGGCGACGATGGCGGGACATAGCCAGCCTGTGCGGCAGCCCCCAGTGCATGTACTACGTCTGCATGCCTGTGAACCCATATTCCTCGACCACAAGCGAGTCACAGTGGCCCAGGGGCCAAGGACAAGCAGGTGGCTTGCACCACACCTTGGGATGGTGGTGGTACGGAGTCAAGGAGGGTTGAGCGGCAGAATAGCAGCATTCTGCCGCGTACACTACCAGCAGAGAACGGCGATCAGAAACGTGGCAGCGCGTCATGCGCATTTGTGATATGACGCAGAACTCGAGTTTCAACTTTCAATGGCTTATCAGCTATCGACGGTCCTCGCCTTCGCGGATAGTGAGGCTCTGGAGTAGGGCACGGTGAAACTCGCGACTGAGATTGACTTATTCACATGTAATTTACCGGTAAATTTGCAGACGCCCGAAATGGGTGGGTCAATTTGGGTCAATCAGCTACTCAACGCCGCTCATGTGACACAAGCCATATTGCATGTGAGGCATCGTCTGATATGCATCAAACCGGCGGCATCATGGTCTAAACTACAGTAAGTGCTGGCCCCCGCAAGAGTCGAATGAGTGTGGCGGAAATTTTGCATATTATTTGCTAATAATTGAGGGTCTTAACAGACAGATTACCCATTGTCGTCAACTCTGTTTTACGTCGGAAGGCACGCCGGATGTCCAGGGTGTCCTGCCCGCGCACAAGCCTTGTATGAGACTATGAGCCATTGGTGGACGGGTTGGACCCAGAGTATGGCGGAGGTTTTGCAGATAGAACCCTAGGCGGCAGCTTCTTCAATAAGGCTGACTTTTGTTAGCGCCGATCTTCCGCCAAAGATCCGTCCTATGAAGCCAACTGGTGTACTTTACACCTATTTGACCATTCTGATGCGCTATTCATTGTATTTTACCGCTGACGTAATTCACTGTCATTTACACCTGTAAATCTCGAGCTCGCCGGGACCCAGTGCTATTTAGCCCGTCAATCTCACCGGCGGACCTATTTCACCGCGCCGTACTCTGGAGGCCTGTCCCAAGTTGCCTGCTGGAGAGTAGAGTGGATTGGGGGAACTGGCTATCGTTCTTAAGCACAGATGATATCATATTGAATGTGACATGACGCCGGAGACTCTGCAGGATGAACAGCAGTGGGAACTAGGGCGCGGTGAAATAGGTCCGCCGGTGAGATTGACGGGCTAAATAGCACTGGGTCCCGGCGAGCTCGAGATTTACAGGTGTAAATGACAGTGAATTACGTCAGCGGTAAAATACAATGAATAGCGCATCAGAATGGTCAAATAGGTGTAAAGTACACCAGTTGGCTTCATAGGACGGATCTTTGGCGGAAGATCGGTGCTAACAAAAGTCAGCCTTATTGAAGAAGCTGCCGCCTAGGGTTCTATCTGCAAAACCTCCGCCATACTCTGGACCCAACTCGTCCACCAATAGCTCGTAGGCTCATGCCAGACTTGTGCGCATGCAGGACACCCTGGACATCCGGCGTGCCTTCCGACGTGAAACACCTTGAGTCGACGACAATGGGTAATCTGTTTGCTCAGACCCTCAATCTTTAGCAGATAAGATATGCAAAATTACCGCCACACTGATTCAACTCTTGCGGGGCAGGGCGAGCACTTACTGTAATTTGGACCATAATGCCGCCGGTTTGATGCATATCAGACGATGCCTCACATGCGATATGGCTTGTGTCACATGAGCAGCGTTGAGTAGCTGATTAACACAAATTGACCCACCCATTTCGGGCGTCTGCAGATTTACCAGTAATTTACATGTGAATTACATAGGCTAATATGCATAGGTCAATCTCGGTCGCGAGTTTCACCGTGCCCTAGTGGGAACGGTGAGCATTCGTCTCACAGACACGACAGAGATCGCATGACAGTCATATGGATCATTGACGAGGTTATACAGAGTACCATCTCTACCTAGAGTCGGAATGTGTCCGGGACGACGTTGTGTATAGTGTAGGGCGAAGAACCTCGAGGTTCTTCGCAAGTGCGATATTCGCAGGTTAACAACGTTGTTAATACTTAACATGCGAATAACCTAGCCTAGTTATTCGCTCTGCGATTATCTGAAGCGCTTATATAAGCGCCTTGCAGCAGATGCGAGATCGTCGAG